ACAGTTGCCTGGCTGGTCATGGCCTCAATGTGGTGGGGCATCGCCTACCTGCGAGGTGACCTGCACCGGGTACATGATGATACCTACGGTCCATGTGTGGCCAATGTGTACAACTTTCCCTCCGCCTTCCTCTTCTTCATAGAGACTGAGGCCACCATTGGCTATGGGCACCGCTACATCACCGAGCGCTGCCCTGAGGGCATCGTGCTCTTCCTCTTCCAGTCGCTGCTGGGCTCCATCGTTGATGCGTTCCTCATCGGCTGCATGTTCATCAAGATGTCCCAGCCCAAGAAGCGAGCTGAGACCCTCATGTTCAGCCGTGCTGCAGTTGTCTCACAGCGGGACGGCAAGCTCTGCCTCATGTTCCGTGTCGGCAACCTCCGCAACAGCCACATGGTGTCTGCCCAGATCCGCTGCAAGCTGATCAAGGTGAGGCCCAGTGCAACAGCGGGAGGGATGGTGTGCCTGCGTTGTGGTGGGCAGGGCATGGGCCAAGAGTGACCACGTGCCCATGATGCAGGTAGCGTCGGGCTTCCCCTGTGCATCCCCTGCGGCTGCCTGCTGGTGGGCTCTGCCCTGCCCTAGGGGCAGCTGCCTTGTCTCTTGGCATGTGTGTGAGAGGATGTGGCTAGGGCGATACAAGGGGCTTTGGAAAAATTTGCCTTGGCTGCCCATAGTGGGAGCCACGCAATAGCCAAGCCAGGTGTAGGGGAAAAGAGTCTCATCAGAGACTTCCAGGGGATGTTCTAGTGGATTGTGAAGCTGGCAGGAAACCAGTTTAGTCTGGAAGGATGGATGTGTCAGGATACAGGATAGCTGCAGGGATGGATACTAAGGCATGCCCCTTAGCAGGTGATGGCCGGGAATGAGAAATTGGTTATACCCATTTTGTGATGACGTTAAATCAGGACGAAGATCAAGCTCGACCTCCTCTTCCGCTTGGGGAAACTCGGGGAGCTTTAACTTGCAATGTCTTACCCCATGGTTCCAGGCAGTGGCCTCCCAGCATTTCAGAGGGATTGCATGGGTGTTTTAGTGGAAAGGCCCTTTGATTGTCACCAATACCTATTTATTAATCACTGACAATGGTCATCGTAATTCAGAAAGCCATAAAACTGGAATTCAAAGGAGATCATAACAAAAAAAAAAAAAAGAAATCATCATGAGACAGTAGAGTCTGATCTCTCTATCATCAGTAGAATTTGGCAGGCACAAAAGTCCGGAAGATACATCGGCCAGGAGTAGAATGGAGGGAAAACACGGTGTGCAACATGCCAAGATGAAGCAACATAGCAGCTCATAGCAGCTACGTCTTGTCTTGGGAACACGCTTGATGGGAAGCATCAGAAGCTGGATCCCAGTGATGACGTTTATTTCAGAATATCATATTTGAATGTTGTAAATGTTCTGCATTCTCTATGGTAATCCTCTCTGGAGCAGCTGTTTGGCTATTTTAGTAGTCTGCAGAAACAATCATGATACAGTAGGTGACGGGACAATGGTAAATGCAAAAGGCTGTTTTCCTTCTGTTCTGTGCAGAACGCTTGACTGAGCTGTTAATTTTTCTTGCTGCAGAATACCATTTAAAATGGAGAATCTGCTAAGATTCAAAAAGAGGTTGGATATATATATGGGAACAAGCTGTCAGGAGTTATAATGGAGCAATTTTTGTAGGAATCAGAAAGCCAGCTAAACCATGATTTTTGTTGTTCTCTAACTATAAAAAATCAGAGGAAAGCTTCCTGTGAAGTATTTAATTCTGTCCATCATCCAAGGTGGAACACAAGTCAAAGTGGAATAAAAACAGTGACACAGTTGTGTTTTTACAGTGATAGTAATTCACTATAAACTACTTTGGAACTGAGACACCAAACACACAACCTGGTGCACTTTTTGCTGATAATTCTGTTGCTACACAATGCTGGTATGCAGACAATTGGGACAGAAAATACAAGGACATTTGATGGACCTGCTTGACCGATCTGTTTTCTGATAGCTGTTTCATAGACTACATGATGAATCAGTGAGTAATACTTGATTTCTTTCTAATGATCATCATGCCTGTGACTTGTCTTCAAGCTGCTTTGCGACCTTTGACAAATATAAGCCATGGACACGGAAAAGTTTAGAAGTGAATGTTTGTGTACTAGCTGCCCCCTCAGTCCTCGTTACAAGGCATGATATTAGTTCCCATGTCTTTCTGTAAATCCTCAGTTCGCTGATGTGCCCCTTGAACTTGACACACCATTCCAGCAGTCATAGCGGCTGTTACGGCAGCATGTGAATTTACATCAGCTGCTTTGAAGTACCTTTGTGTGTCCTGTAAAGTTACGGTGAATGTGCCGTAACTCACTCACCATTTACCTTTAGCGACTTCTGCCTTTTTGTGATTTGTGCTATTTCCACTGTGCTTCGTGCAGTCCTGTTGACAGCCGATCTTGCCACACTTTTCCTGCACCCGATTAGATAGCTAGAATTTTGTTACTTGTGTCACAGTGTAAGAATGTGAAGACATACATCTTATCACACTTTTGTACTTGAGATTGGAGCCATATTTAGTAGCGAACGTAGTGTTTCAGTGGGACTGATGGAGCCCCGAGGATTTACCTTTGTAAAGAAAGTACACCAATTTAAGTCTGTCTGAATGGCATTTACTGAAAGTGTGATATGCGCCCTAGGATATTCAGTAGGTTACAGTGGTGCCGCCACACCGTGCTGGCTTTTTTTTTGGTCCAGGGGACTGCGCAGTAGCATGGTGTAGTGATGTCACGGAAAAGTCTGAGGCCCTTTTTGGACCGAGTTGGAAACTGTTCTCCGACTCTTGGAAAACAGCATTACAAGACTAAGCATGCGTGTTTCAGCAAAATCTTTTCCAGAAACATTTACACTCAATGCTTTAGAAGCAGCGAAAAACAAACTCCTGGGGCAAGAAATAGACAGAAGCTGGTTGGAACTAGCTGCTGAAAGTGTGCAATTCCAGGTCCTGGCCTTTTCAGTGTCTCAGTGAACTGTATTTTTCTGCCTGTTACTTCCTAGACCTCACTAGTGCACCTGAGTGATCTGCAGCAACCAGCATCCACTGTATGCTGATCAGTATTGATTTTTAAAAGTTACGATACGTATTTTTATGTTGATGAAACTACAGATGTCACTGATAAACATGATAGTGTTGGTGTGTAAAGCGGTCTATAAAGCATTTCAGCTACTAGCGTAGGACATTTTGATTTCAGAAAGCCAAGGGATGTAAAATCATCGTAGCCTCTTTTCAACATGTGCTAAGCAATAGTTTTAAAAACAGAATTGTAAAGCATAGTAGCCATACAGCCAGTGCGCTTTGGATTATGACCAGCAGGCACCTATTCTTTGAGCAGTAGTAATTAATAGCTTTGAATAAGCTGAAAGCAAACAAAATTGTAGCAAAAAGTTCACAGATGGCAGATGATAGCCATTGCAAATAAATAGGAAGACCCATTATATTGTAATTTCAATAACTCAATAAGCAAGGCACGTGCAGAAAGTGCAGATGATATGGTTTTTAATATCACAGAATCATTCAGATTGGAAGGGACCTTGGCAGGTCTCTAGTCCAACCTCCTGCTCAAAGTGTGGTGAGCTATGAGGTCAGACCAAGTTGTTCTGGGCTTTTTCCAACCTGATCGTGTCCTCTAAGGACAAGGACTGCACAGCCTTACTGGGCAAGCTCTTCCATTGCTTAACTGTCCTTATGATGGAAAAGTTTTTCTTTAATCCAGTCCAAACTTTTCATTTCAGCTTTTGCCTGTTGTCTCTCTTATTCCTGCTATGCACTGCTGGAAAAGCCTGGCTCCATCTTCTTGACTACCTTCCTCTTAGGTTTTGGAAGGCTGCTATTAGATCCTCCTCTGTGCCTTCTCTTCTCTGGTCTGAACAAGCTCAGCTCACTCACTGTTGTATTTACAGCTTGGGGCAACTAGATTATATTAAAAAGTAGCAGTCATCCTGGGAATTATCTAAGCTAGAGCTCCAAATATAGTGTCATCAAAAACCCCATGCAATTCTTTAACAGTGGTGTCAAAGTAACAAGTTCATGTTATTTCAGTAATGTAATATATAATAAATGTTTTTGCAAGCTGCTAGTCTAAGGGTGCAGCAGAAGCGCAGATAGGTGAGATCAGGGTTTTTCTTCTCAAATACCAGAACTGAAAATACTGTAGCATTGTATGACAAATTAGCACGTACCAGTTTAGCATTTTGTAGATTCCTGACTTTCTCTACAACATACTGCAATAGTAAGCTCGATGGTCTTCTGTCGTTTGCATCCTGTGTTTTCTACTCCAATACTTAATTAGTCCACCTGGGAATCAAAACATAATTACTTGAGTTCTCTAAAGAAGTAAACTGAAAGAGGGTTAGTAATAATAAAGCTCTGGTTAAAGAAGGATGTGCATAAACAACAGGGTTTAGAAAAGTGGTGAAAATGAATAAAGGATAGGAGCAAAGACTCTAAGGTCATAAAATGTTTGGTCAGAGGTGAAAACAGACTAAGTGATGATGCAACGGAATTCTGCCTAGTAATAATAAGAAAAAGAAACATCCAGTGGCAGAAAGTTAAAGGTGGAAAAATCTGGACACAAAAGGAGTCTCTTTTTTCTTAGCTGTGAGGCAATAAACGTTTGGAGCAATTCATCTAGATCTTTGGATTCTCCATCTCTGGCCACATTTAAAATGAAAGCTGGGGCATTTCTAAGTAATTGCGGCCTTGTTTACGCATGCATTGATCTGCGGAATTTATTTGGCTTTGTGTTATGTGGGTGGTTAAAATAAAGAATCACAAGTGTTCCTTCCAAACTTATATAGTCCTCTGCCCTGTTTTGTGATCCTTTGAGTAAAGCTATATATATGCAACAAAGGTCGCCGGCTAGGAGTCTTAACATATTAGGGCTATTAAGCTATCTTCATTCATTAATATCTTTTTGTTTAAGAAGTAAGTTTCTTTAAAAAATTATCCATGCCCTGCATAAGTCAGTCCTGTATGTAAGATACCGAATACCTCAAACACAACCTTTTGCTTTCTCCCAGATCTAATCATCCCTGCTGGATTTGTTTACTATTGAGTGGATTTGATCGAAGACTCTTCCACAGAGAAAAATGGTTTGTAGATGTAACAGTTCTTAAGTCATTTAGGCAGCAGTTTGTGCAAATATGCACATCTTTGTCTAGGTAATTGCATTTGATAAAACTTTGGTAAAAGTGGAGGTTTTGTGTTGGTTCATACGGCTCATGTTGAGCCTTGTTACCTTGGAGCGAAGGTCATACATTGCCAACTAATTTGTGCATGCGCTGAAAGAACAGTAGCCAGTCAACAAAAACAGCGGTGTAGTCTGCAGCTTGATTCTGCAGGTGCCCTCAGAAAAGGAAAGGATGGTTTTGCATTCTCAGAAAGGATGTTTTTGCAGTAGTTTGATTACACCTTGGCATATAACAGAGACTGTTGTGATTGCTATGTAGTAGTGGTTTTGATTGCTTCTATTTTATAGCCCTTTTTACCTTTCAAAGCACAAATAACCTGTGAGAATGCTTTTACAAGCAATCAGCTGATATTTTCCCTGTCCTCATCAGTAGTGGAGAAACTGACTCTTGCATAAGAGAGAACTCAGTTATTTAGACAGGAAGATTTTTTTTTTCTCAGCAGAAAAACAGACACGTAGCCCATAAACGAAATAATGCATTTAATTTAATAAGGAGCTGTGCTCTACCAGCTACCTATCTGATAATGTAATCACCAGTAAATACCAGGCAGTTAAAAATTCAGCATTTTTAATGTACAGGTGAAGCGGAGAGACAATCTGAAGGTGCACTAGTTACTCAGGGACTTTTTTGAAGACAGAAACTTTCTTAAAAGGATACCAATCAGACCTAAGTCAATGGCAAAACTGCTAGCTTTGGCTTGCTCTCAGGACTAACGGATGGAGTTTCAAAGCAATGGAACCAATACATTTGTCAGTACCAATGCATCATGGTTACAACTATTTAGTAACTATGGTTACTAGGTGGTGGATGCTCCATCCCTGGAGACGTTCAAGGCCAGGTTGGACAAGGCCCTGAGCAACCTGATCTAGTTGGAGATGTCCCTGTTCCTTGCAGGGGGGTTGGACTAGATGACCTTTGAAGGTCCCTTCCAGCCCTAACCATTCTATGATTCTATGATTCTATGATTCTATGGTATAATCTATTATTTATAATCAACAGTCGGCTTCTTAAAGAGTTAAGTGCTTTCTAATCAAGCAATAAGCAGAAAGTATTTTAAACAGGATTTTAAACAGACTCTGCAAAGCTTTTAATTCTAATGGGCAATTTCCACTAGAGACCTTTAAAGTAAGCAGCTGAGGAGCTTCCTGGCCAACTGATGTTATTTTTAGTTCTACTTTGAATACCAGGAAAATTTGAGAGGAACACTATGGGGTGGGGGGAAGCTATCGTATCAGTATTTTTGTTGGATTTGTGAAATGACGTGAATAAAAACGAGGCACTTAGCTTACTAATGATCGTTAAGTTCATTATTAAGATCAACATACAGTAGGTGGTACATGCAAATTGGCCAGGGATGATAGCATGCTTAATATCGAATCAGATGGTTTTGTGAAAATGTCACTTAGCAGACATACTGTACAATTACTATGATGCTTACCTTTGAGTTAGTATATCACAGTGTCTGCCAAATAGAAAATAGTAACATATAAAAATAACGAAACATGAATTCAGGCAATGGATTAAACTGTGCCTGGCTTGTAGATTTTATTCTCATTAACAGGAACTTTTGCCGCAGGATGTTCATGATGAACATCCAGTATAAGGTGTGTAGCATGGTACCCGATGTTTTAGTCAAAATATATATATATATATATATCATAGTAAAGTTTGTAGGTGATTATGAGATCTAGTGGCATGATAAGAAAAGTCAAAATTGGTCATATATAGTAACCTTGCAGTATTTAGCATTAGTTACATCTCTGTTATGAAGACCCCAGACCTAATATGTAGACGATAATGTTATGAAAGAGGCAGGTTTAAACTTCATTGCATTGCTTTTCATGTTTTGTCTCACATAACGATTACAAAATCATCTTTTCATCTTTAGTCCCGACAGACACCGGAGGGAGAATTTCTGCCGCTAGACCAGTGTGAATTGGATGTTGGATTTGGAACTGGAGCTGACCAGCTGTTTTTAGTTTCCCCATTAACCATCTGTCATGAAATTAATTCAAAGAGCCCCTTTTTTTGTCTCTCACAAAGATCACTAAGAAGCGAGCAATTTGAAATAGTTGTCATCCTCGAAGGAATCGTTGAGACTACCGGTAAGATTTAGAATAATATGCCTGCTCTAATTTTTAGTGTTTCTTTTCAGTCCTGATATTTTTAACGAGGCAGCTGTTAATCCTTTCAGGATGCTAATCCTGCATGCTTCAGAATATCCCATGATATGCTGTAGAGCTTCAGTGGCCTTTACCAGCCAATAGGAGACCTCCCTTCCCCATAGAGCTCTGCATTACTGATGCTCAAAGCCGCCAGTACATCCAAGCAGCAATGCGCCCTGCCACTCTGAGTATGGCATTGTAGAGGAGCAAAACACTCTTGTGAGACTCCTGATTTAAGGACCACCACTCTGAAAGAACGTTGAACTTTAAAAGTTGACAGTGTTGCAAAATCACTTTCAGCTTAGCTTGCATTAAATGGGCTGCAAAATAACAAATCCAGTTTTACAGTACAAATACAGACCACATAGTCGCAAAGATTGTAAGAACACGTGGTTATCGGCAAACGTGAGCAGGGCTTTTGGGTTCTTTTAAACTTTTTTTTTTTTTCTCATACAGCGTTATCCAAACGGCAGCTGACTTTGTGGTCTTGTCTTTTGAGGACTTAATTATTTTATGGATCCTGTGACAAGGCACTGTGGTTACGTAAGAAGCTCTGTGTTGAGGATCCATGTGTACTGTTAAAGTCCATATCATTCAGCAGGTTCATTGATGTTCTGATCCTCCTCTCCCTTCTTTGAAGGATTTGTTAAACCTCGATTAATCCACAAGCATTTTCACCTTTCTTTCAAGAAGATTACCGGTTGCCTGGTTCCTGCCTTAGAAACAGTAATGTCCTTTTGGCACAACCAAGTGCAGTCATTTCATGCCGGACAGGAAAGAGAATTGACCGATTACTATCCATGTGCTGGACTGAGCCCTAAAAAATTCCACAATCCACCGGGGCAGAACACTTTCATGTTAAGCGCGGCAGTCTTTGGATCCCCACAGAGACCTCTTCTCATGCTGCAACTGAACCATGTATCTTAGATAAGCATGCATTCATAACTGCACTTAATGCAATTACCTAACTGGGTATTGCGAGGGAAACATTTTACACTTGTCTGAGAATTAATGTAGCAGTTACGGGAGAGCAAATCAGAGTTTGGGTTTACTGACTGCTAATTCTGCCTCTGAAGAGCACCATGACAAGAAGTCTTAAAGTTCTACTCATGTGAAATACTTGTATTAATTATCATCAGCACGGTTGCGCTGAGATTGTAGCATATTTGTTGGCTTGGTTAGAACACATTTTAGCTGTCAGTTCACACATGTAAACTGCCAATGATGTATGTTTGCACTAAATGAAACAAGTCCTTCTACAAGCTTTACAGTGGTAGCTATGTCTTAGCATGGAAGACAGCTGCAGTGTCTCTGCACAACTTTTGTCGTGACATACTATTTGGAGAAAAAGTAGCCTAGCCTATAGAAGGATTGGAAGATGAAATTTTTCCATTTAGCTTTGGCTCTCCCTATGCCCGATCTTTGCCAAAGAATTCTGTAAGCCTCTGCCAAGCAACGGTTCTTTCTCCCAAGGTGACTTCCAAGAAACATACTACATACAAACTATAAGATTGTTGCTAGCAAGCTAATACTTTATGTTTTGCTTTTCTCAAAAGCTTTTTTCTCAGTGTGAGTCTGCGAATCCAGTATTTGCATTACAATCTAGTCAATCAATTAGAGTCACTCCATTGACTGTCGGGAGATGTACTAGGAACAATGACTCCATTTTGATATCTATAAATTTGTTATTTTACAGTGTTCAGTTGATTTTTATCCATGAGCCTTACCTTATATCTTTTGTTCCATATGCTGATCTACTTGCTCACGTTAGAATGTCATGCTCTTGTCTCTGTTTCCATAGGAATGACATGCCAAGCTAGGACCTCATACACAGAAGATGAAGTTCTTTGGGGTCACAGATTCCTCCCAGTAATGTCCCTAGAAGATGGCTTTTTCCGTGTCGATTATTCTCAGTTTCATGCTACGTTTGAAGTCCCCACTCCTCCTTACAGTGTGAAAGAGCAAGAAGAAAACCTGTCCCTATCATCTCCTTTGAATAGTCCTGTCAATAATAACAAAACCAGAAGAGAACAGGCTTGTTCACTTGACTGTATTGATATTGCAGGAGAGAAAAGAAAGCTCCCTTTTAAACTTCAGAAGATTAGCTTGAGAAAGGAAGACCTTCCAAGAAGAGCCCTGAGAATGAGTTCCAGTAACACAGAGACAACCTGCAGTACCGGAGATCTCTTGAAAATTCAAGATACAAGTCCCATCTCTGGTAGTGAAGACAGTGATGACAGGATACAGCTGAAAGCCTTAAAAATAAATGCTGGGGCTTTGACTCAGTCTATCAGTGATCTCGAGTTACAGAAGAACCTTCCAAGTAAGTGCACTCTAGAGATGAAATTGGAAGACAATTTTCCTGCCAAATTTTGAAAAAGGAACTCTGATTGCCTCTCTTAAAAGTAGAAGCAACAGGAGTTGTTGCTGATAAACTGCATTCGAGACTGCTGACCTGAAAGAGTTGTCTTACAGTAAAGTCACGATTTGTTTTTGCCACTTTCAGGAATAACGGTCCTTTCATAGATTCATAGATTCATAGATTTCTAGGTTGGAAAAGACCTTAGAGATCATCGAGTCCAACCATCCCTAATCCCCATTAAACCATATCCCCAAGTAGATCATCCACCCTATTCTTAAACACATCCAGGGATGGGGACTCAACCACCTCCCTGGGCAGCCTAATAATTGCTCTGTACAGATCCAACTTAGGTAGCATAATAGGACTTTGAGGTGCAGTAAGGTTAGACTGTTATGGCAAAGAGACCGCTGCCCTATTATGTTTATTGGCATGCTCGTTGCAAATATACATTGTCTTCCATATATGTGGATGCATATTCACGAAGCAAGGACCAGATCCTTAGTTGCAGAGTGTTCAGAGATCAAGCCAAAAAGGGTGTAAAACCAGGTGCAACACAATTTGCACAGCTCAGATCTCGGACTGTTCCTGATGTATAGAACAGCAGAACACAGGAAGAATCTGTGATGCTGCTCGATTCCCAGTAGGCCCAGTTCTCTCAGTGACCCCGTTGGAAGGTGGCCTTCCTGTGCAGCCTAGTGGCATACATCCTTCTTTCTCAATGATTGTGGCATGCCAGCTCTGTGTCCCCAAAATCTCATTCATTGTCATTCAGGTAAAGGAAGCGGTTTGTGATAGCTGTTTCTGTTGTTTGACTTATATGAGCTCTCATAAACATGAGGATCATTTATCCTGTCCAAAATTAGACCCCACCATTCAATCAAGTGGATCATATGTTGAATTTTAACAACTGTATTGCCACTTGGTGTGAAAGGAACTTGAGGTCGGTAGCTCAATTTAATGGTATGTCTCATGTAGCGACGGAGGGAAGACCAGGACGCTCAATATGAGTGATCAGCAGGCTTCGATTTTATTGTCAAACGATACCATTTTTATAATCACTTTAATTAGCTCATACATATTGCAAAAGGAAAGCTCATGATTGGTTAACATATTTAGAAGCTAATTCCGCCCCTGGCTCCCCATCTGTGTTTACTCTCTTCCTCTTTTCTTATGCCTGTCTGGCCAGAAGCATCCTGTTGTCTTGTAATACTCAAGTTACAGACAGGATGTTCTTGCCACCTCAGCAGTTAAACTAGCTGAGTGCTTTGTTTCGCAAGATTTTGTTCAGCTAGCTGACTTATGTCTATGTGGCCTTTCTCAGTTAGCCATTCTCCCACAGTCTCACACCACAACTTCGTGAAATTTTAGTTTGGAGACTCCTCATAAGTAAATAAAAGCAAAGAGCTGGATAGTGCTCAGTTGTTACAGGAATGGACAACAGTATGCACACACCTCAAGAGTTTTACTGATGAATGGTGAGGGTCTTTGATGTTGCTCATTTTTTTTCCTTACATCTGCTTTCTCCATTTATGTATGATTCTCAATAATTTTGTAGATTTGACATTTGTAGTATTACACAATTTATTCCAGAGTAGAACTCTGGTTTAACATAAATATATTAAGACACTGAAAGAAAAGCCAGCACAGGTGTGTAACATGGTAAGTGTGCAGCTGAGAGAGGGCTTTCATGTTTTTGAGCGTAATGGACCAGTCTCTCAAAGTGCTTCTGCTAATAATAGTGATTTGCTTTCTATTATTGAGTGAGTATTTTAGAAGATCACCCCTGGAATATGGCAACCTTATCTGTAGAAGTGACCAAAAAGATGTCAGTGCAGATTTAGACAGAGGTGTTGTTATTTTGGTATTCAGTATCTCTTTAAACTGTCATACAGCTTTTTCTAAGTGACTGGCCTTGAACAAGAGGGAAAAATGCTCTTCTGGTTTTAAAGCAAATCTCGCATAACTGAAACTACTGTTTGTCTTACTGATCATCAGGAAATGTCAAGAACTAGACTTTGACTTTCTTAGATTTCCTGGGGTTCTACACTTCAGAATAATTGCATTACTATTCAGCTATTCTGCTGTCCATCTCAATCTGTGAAAGATGTCTTTTTTTTTCAGTCGATAGTGAGCAAGCATAATTGGAACCTGCTGTTTTGTAAACGGCGATGTTCGGTAGCTCAGCCCATAGGGTGCTTATCACTAGCAGAGCACTCCTCAACAGTGATATATGCAAGCCAGGGATGGCTTGGCTTGCATAGGTCGCTATTTCTTGCTTTTGATTGCCTGTCTACAGTGTGAATCTGGAAAATGGTATTTTGCAGAGGAGGAGGATTTGCTTGCTGCTTATTTTCAGTTTGAATTTCAACATTATATATGTGCTGAAATCTGTATTTTCATTTATTAAATGTATTAGTATGGAATATTTAGATGACAATGTGAAGTCTTGATGGATGACGACTCTCTGCACTCTTCATAACAGCCAGAATTAGTATAAAATAAAATTACATCCACCTTGGGTCTCAGTCATTCTTGCAAGTCAGTCAGCTCAGAGCACATTTCTAATAGACACAGAAATAGTGCGCGTGAATACCCTATATCTGCTTTTCCATATAGTTATATGAAAGGCTGTACTGCACATGTTATGCAACTGTCAGACGTGTCAGTAGTTTTCTGTGCTGTGCATTCTGGAGGATAGTCCTAAGTTGTTTTCAGTTTTCCCAGTTCTGGGCTGCTCCCATAGCTTGCACAGTAGATTTAGTTATTGGCTTCTTGAGACTTTCCCATAGACCAGTCTCAAGCAGAATCTTCATGCTCTAAATGTATTATATGAGAGCTCGCAAGCTGTATAGTGGTTTTCTGCGATGCCCACTGTGACAAAAGTAGTTGTCAAAGTACTTCTGGGAACCCTGTGGTGACTGTTCCTACTGTGTGAAGCAGAAAGATGTCTTCCTGAGACTGAGGGCTCCAGCACGCGTGTCATGATGCTATTACTCCTCGAGGAGCATATTTGCTCTGGAAGAGAGTAAGGGTGAAGGAGTAGGAAAGCAAACTGACAAGCAAAATGATACAACAGGGTACCCAGAGATACGGGAGGGCAAGGAGAAAGAAGGTAGCCAGCTTTGCGTGGCCCTAGGAGGACACTGAGGGGCCCCCCTAGCGACTGCAGAGCCAGGTCGCATGGAAAGGTCACTGATGCCACCACTAAGAGGCCACATCAGGGGGTGGATCAGGCCCTGAACTGGAAACTGGGTGGGAGCAAACCGTCCCTCAGCTCCGGGATCGCACAGGATGGATTGAGCAGAAGCAGGGAGTGGTACGTGCCCTCGCTTTCTCAGTAGGTGGCCCAGCCCTAAGCCTGCTCCGCAGCTACAAACGCAATCCCGCAGCAAGGGTCTCTGGTGGAATGCGCCATGCCAGCACAGCAAGCATCACGGTATGCCTACTGGCAGGGATGGTTGACTGAGACACCTACACACATTTCAGCCACCTGCCAGCTGCTACGTGATGTTCAGTGCTGGGCGATGCAGACGGTCAAGGTCATGACAAAAACTTTCCCCTGTGTCACCCAGTGTTCAGGTCTGTGCTCTGATCTGAGGTCTCAGTTTGACACCGCAGGCATGGCTGCACCGTGCCAGACCGGTGAGGTGGCAGGGAGCTGAAAGGTGTGAAACGTGCTTTCAGGCTGCTAGTAAAACAGTGAAGCAGAAGCACAGACAGGCGTGATCAGGGTTTTTCCTCTCAAATACCAGAAATTAATTCTATCCCCAAAGGAAAAAGCTTAAGGGAGGCTGACGGCCCCTTGGTGACTTGCTGCATCAAGGGCAAAGGCAAGATCTGATCTGAGCTGATCCTTCCCCTCCAGGCTGATGAACTCCAGTCCAGTAGAAGGGGAAAGCATAATGGACTTAGCCCTGTAGAAGTCTCTGTTCCAAGTGTTGTTTATGTGTAATAAACGATTGGTTTAATTTTCGTACTCATAGCTGTGGCTCTTGCAGTCCCTTCGACTGGGTAAGCACCTGTGACAGTGCCTGAGGGAAGGAGGTTACCTGTTGTGTCTTAGGGGTGGGAGCTGATCCTGAGATTTCTCGGACTCCTTTGGGATCACTGGGGGTTCCCAGACAGCCCCAGTGCCATTCACACGTCTGTGGGAGATTTCCCTTGAGTTGCCAAGGACACTTGCAGCTATTGGTAGCATTTGCCATCATTCAGGGGCCAGCCAAGGCCCCTCTGGCCAGGGCTGCATGAGGTCCCCAAGCTGCTCCTTGTTGCTGTCAGCACCCAGAGGTGCCCTGGGTATGTCTAGGGTCAAGGACAGGGATTAGTGCAAGCAGTGCTGGGAGATGGGTTTTCCACAGGGTCTTGCAATGGCTGCAGGCCACTTTCCATTGAGCACACAGAGCCCCATAGCATGCCATATGGCCCTTTCGGTGTGCACCACGGCCCTTAATTTGTATTTGGGTATGTCCATGAGCCCTCTGAACTCCTGAATTCATGTTTCAGTTTGCCCCCAAGTCCTTGTTTGTATTGTAGCACACCACAATGTTTCCTATTCAGCTTTCTCCCATTCCAGAGTTTTCCCAGTGCTTTTCTGGTGTGCTCTAGGGTCGTCTATTTTCCTTTCTTGTGTGGCCCAACTCCCTACTACACCTTTGCTTTTTCTGTGCCCCCAGAGTCCTATGTTTTCCTTTATTTTTTTTTTCCTCCTTTTTCCTTCTGTTGCACTCCAGAGCCCTCTTTTTGTTCTCCTCCTTTTTCCTTTTTGTGCACCCCAGAACCCTTTAGCTTTTGGCAAACTGCTCTCAGCAGCTGGGGCATACTTCTGTTGCCATGACAGCCACAGCTTTCCATAGAAGGGCTGATGGCAACCGCCTGTGTTCTTTATGAACGCTGCAGCTGTGGGCCAAGGGCCTGGGCTAGGGGATGAGAAGTGTGAAGTATGCCCTGTGGGACCACTGGCAACGGCCCTTCTGCATCATCCCACGGACAGGAGCTCTTACTGGGCTGCTGCCAC